AGGTGGGATTATTTTCAGCGGACGGCCAAAAGGTGGGATTATTCCGGGCAATTTTTCCAAAAATAAATGTTAGTTTATTAAATTAATAATTTGTGTTAAGGACAATTACAAATCAAATCATCAAAAACTAGGATATCTAGCTACAGTAGCTAGCTAGCTAACTACTTCCTTTTTTTTTTTTGAATAAAATAGGGAGGGTGACTTAAATAAATTATAATAGTTATTCAGCACTTACAATCATCCCTTAATAGATCTAAATCCTCAATACACGTATTTAACATATCTAACTAATGACATTGCTTTTGAACTGCTCCTGAATAATTTTAGATGTTTTTGCATCGTTCTTGACAGAGCTCCATTGATGCATAGTCGCGAAAGTGTTAAAACTTGATTGGTCGTCAAGATTAGCAAATTTGCAAGACGAATTTTCTAAATATGCATCCCTAAACCAATAGACCCACAATTCCACAAATTTACATGACGAATCTTCCAAACTTGTATCCCTGCACAAACGAAAAACAAACAAATTAAACGAACAATATTAACAATTCCACTAGTAGGGAACCGATTAAATCCTACATAGAGGCCCGGGACGTACTGACCACCATACTATTGGTGATCTTTATCGGCTAAAAATCATTAAATTAAAGAAGGATTTGGGGCTTACCATCGAGAAAAATTGATTGCAACCCCTAAGTTTTACGTAATATGGTGGCTAGGTTTGAAGAGAGAGCATAGCTAGTTAACTATACTTGACTGTATCCAATGTGTAGATAGCTTAAAAGCACCAAAAATAAATAAATAAATTAATTAATTAATAAAAATGTGTAGATAGCTTAATAGTACATCATAATTATTATAATTATAAAAGTACTTAGGGAACATATGTTTCTTTCTTGTTTATTTATTTATTTTTATTTTTATTTGGGTAGGTATAGAAAAGTGCTCTATTGATTTGAAATCTCACATGATTCTATCTAGCCTGATTCAGGATATGTTCATTTAACATGATATGATCAAATCTAATCTGAATATTTCTTATCTGATCTGATTTTCAAATATGACTAAACTTTAACAAATCTTATATGTACACTAATCTGTAATATAAAAACATATCAACTGAGATATCATTAGGTCATTAAACATGTACATTCATCAATTCCAAAAAATGAAATCATAATAGTAGTAATTTTTTGATAGTGAAATTACAGATAATTTACGAAAATTAAATGGTAATAAAAAAGATAAGATCTAATCTGACTTGACCTAGTTTGGTGTGATATGATCATTTTTTAACTTAGTTGATATTAACTTTAAAAAATGTTTATTGAACATAGCCTCAGTAGGAAAACAAGTTCCTACAAGGACGAGAGATATTGTGGGGAAGGGAGTCATTATGAGGTAAGTCAATCTTATAAATTACTAAACCATGTTATCTTTGGCATACTTTGCAAGTCTTCCTTTTTAAAATCTCATTGTTAGCTTTAGACTTCTTTTAATTTAAGTGCAAGGATGAGAATCGATCTCAAGATCTAACCACTTGAACTATCCCCTCTCTCACGACAAATAATATATTCATTGCAAACACCTTCGTAATCTTGTCCCCTTATTCCTACAATGTAACAATGATACAAAAGATACCCAAATCTATAGTATTGTTATTTTAATGAAATGACAGGAAGTAGTAAATCTAACAAGAAAAAATTCACTCAATGCAATTAAGCAGTCACATTAAAAAAAAATATGTTAATTGATCGTAGTGTTAAGAGTAAGGGAAAAAAAAAAAAAAAAAAAAAAAAAGAGGCATGAAATGCAATACTCGTACATCATCAAAATGAAATCATGCTGAATATTTTTGAGCAAAATAATTTCTATAGGACCTCAATACACGGCATGTTATCCCATTGGTACACACGAGGTCATTAGTAACTGTAGTTGACGAATTTGATGTTGATTAATAAATTAATGTTTTGATTATTATTGATGTTTATTGCCTCTCAAACATTAATAATATTCATTACAAAATATATGGGACGTCAACAGTAACAATTATTAGCTTTAATTTAGAATTAAAGCTACTACGACCAACTTAATTAGATTAATTCACATATCTAACGATTTAATTAGTCAAGGCTGTTAGCATATATATCCACATTTTGGTATGTGGCATGCCACAACTTATCATACCGTTTTTTAAGTTATCATCTTCTCATGATTTGTACATTAGAAAATATAACAAGCAATGATCGATATATGTATAGGGGCTCATGAAGAATATATGTGTATTTGATGTCGGCATATTTTTATTGAACATGGCTTATTTTTGTTCAACATACTATTCAAGCTGATTTTTTTTTTTCTTTTTTTTTTTTTTTTTTTTTTTTTTAACGATTCGATCTCCTAAGCTTTCTCTATCATTAAAGGGTTGATTGGTGTATAATTCACTTTTTATTTTCCGATCCAAACTTAAAATCTAGCCAAAATTATACAAATAGAGTTGTCCTGACCCGGTCCCAAAAGTAACGTTTATTAGTGATCCGTACATCACAATTGAATCAAATGTTTCATCTCTTGACCAGACCCAAGCCCATTTCGAAGAAGCATTTTGTCACTTAAAGCATGTTTGGTTGGAACGTTTTTTTTAATAAATGAATTCAAATAAACTATTACTGTTACCAAGTGTTTGGTTGGAAGATTCGGGTAACAATTACCATTACCTATGAGTAATGATTTTCACTCATTTATTACCTCTCTGAAATCTAAGGTAGCAATTACTCTTAATTACTTTATGATCTCCTCAAACAAAAATAAAGAAATATAGTTTTAAGTGGTTCTTTTCCATGATTAAACCAAACAAATGAAAAGGTAAGAGTTAAATCATTTTTTTCCTGCCACTTATTTATTTCCTTTTTAATCCATAACTTTTGCAGAAATCTCTATATGGGCTCAAACAAGCTCCTCAAACCCGATACAAACGATTTACTAGCTATTAGTCATACCAAAGAGTCAAAGACCCCTTTAATGTTTTCATCAATTATATGGAATTCAATTCAATGATATTCATTCCACACGACCACAGTACACCAATGCATACAATGGTTGAACAACGACTTACCTTAGCACATGTTGCATGCATGAATTTCTCTTAAGCAAAGTAAGGACGGAGTAAATTCAATTTCGCACGGCCGTTCTCAAATACATATATTGACATATTCAAATGTACGTCGATAATAAATTCCAAAGATTCATTGCACGGCCTAGGACTTGGGTGAATGTAAGCCACAAATTCAAGCATCTCACCTTATTTTGACAATTATATTGCATACATTCCACTGTAATTGGCTAGAAATTGCCTATTCGTGGAAACGAAGTTACGTTTTATAGTTTTGGAATAGTCAATTCTAAGTATAATAACATTTGAAAGTCAACGGCTTAGATTGTATAGTAGTTTGCAACCATTAGACTTGATTTTGTGAGCTCATTCTAATTAATTTCTAAATTCAACTCGTTCAATTATACTGTGCATGACTTATTTACCTAAATTCTATTCTAATGACTCCATTTGTACATGTACAAAAGAATATGCTATTATTCACTTTAATTTGTTTCATAAAAACTAGTCGTATATATATAGTTTAAATAATACTAACAATTACTATTGTATACACAATAAAAAAATAAAAAAAATAAAAAAATCAAAATAAAAAAAAGAAAAAGTATTAATTATCGACCAGCATGAAACTTGGATCAAATCAATTAAATGACGTACGTACGAATAGTAGAATTTGCTTATTTGCTTGTTAAATATTCACACATAGCAATAATAAATAATTAAATATACATACATCCAAAATAATGACAAAAGTGAGATGGAAAGTTTTACTATAAGAATGAAATATCTTAAGTAAAATTATACAATGTGCCCCACCAACCAACGATCTAATTAACTTATTTATGGTCTATAAAGGTGACTAGAATAATAGAAATTTTAACAAACACCTAGAAATTTTTAAAGTCTACTTACACACAATTACAAAAACCATATAATATAAAGAAATAAAGAAACTTGAATCGGAATATCCTATTGTATATCCTATAATTTGTATGAACGTATTTTTTATTTTACCTGCTTCATACAGTTGCCCTGCATTCATGTTTAAGAAAGTTGTTAATATTACAATACAAGTATAATTCATTTTATCCATAAGTACTACTTTAGAGTTTAGATGGGCTCTTCTTACCTCAACTAACCCACTTTTTTAAATCATTATTTATCAGAGTGACCCCTAATTAACCAAGTAACCCGTGACCGAGTAACCCCTGATCGACTTAGTAATTCCTGACCGAGTAAGTAACCCCTGATCGGATAACTCCTGATCGACTTAGTTACCCCTGTCCGAGTGAGTAACTCATGACCAAGTAACTCACGACCGACCAAATAACCCCTAACCGACCAATTAAACCCTATAACACTAACAAAGTACTCCCAATGGTTAGCCACATGGTGTGGTCAAACGCATATAAAATTAAAGTTTGTGTAAATTTATAAGATTCGTATATGATCACCATTTTTTCCCCTTGATTTCTCTTTATGATTTCTACAATCAAACTACTACCTTCTTTCTTATTTGTAAGAAAGAAATTTTTTATATCTCACAAATAATACCTCACTTTTAATTGCAAATAATAAGAAATATAGGTAGTAGAAACAATTTAACTAAATAAACAAAAAGAATATTTGTATTGTATTTTCTTCTCTCAAGAAATACTTGTAAATATATAAATAAAAACAATATTCACACTTCATTTACTTGAAAAGGCAATAATTCAAAAGTCGAATAAAGAAGATACCCCTATGAAAACAAGACAATTGGGGCGTTGACAAAAAATATATCTCATAAAACAAAAGTATAATATTAAAATGTGAATAGTAACATATATTACATCATTGTCATCAAATGGCCCCCTCCATCATTATATAATATGTGATCGAATGAGTTGCATTTATTATGAAGCTAAGATATACCCCAGTAAATACCCTCAAAATTATTGTGTGCTATATCTTCTCCCAATTTCCTCTTTCTATTTAAGCTCCTCATCTTTCTTCCTTATCTCTTCAACCCTCATACATACATACTAAAAAAAATCCACAATCTTAAATAAGCACCTTGTTCTCTTATCATACATTTTATACTCGTACTTCTTTATCACTTTCAACTCCTCTATAACTTAAATCGTATTTTTTTTTCTAGGTGATCAATCATTATCCCACATATATAAGATTCCTGATCTAGAATTTGGACTCGAAATTTGTTTTTGTGTTTTCTAAACTTTTTCATCAACGGGGTATCAAATTTTTTTTTGGTGGGAGGAAGGAATATGAGTAACCCGACTAAGCCAAGACTTCAAGCCGTGTTCCATTTGGTTTCTTACTTGGGTGATGTATTCCAAAGTCTTTTATAACCCAAATTCATTTGTTTTTTGAATCCAATTTAAGGTATTTGATTTCTTTTTCTTTTTTGTTACTTGACACACGTACGATTTTGTGATTTGTTACGAAAAAATAAAAATGGAGGGATTGCAAGATAAGAGAAAGAAGGGAAATGTGCTAAAAAAGACATGGGAAAGATGCAAGTCTATAGGTCATGGTCAAGTACTAGTAAGGGTACCTTCAACAAGTCTTCTGTCGATATCATCGTCACCCGATCGTAGTCGTCCTATGGTGAAGAGCAAATCATGTTCAACACTTTGCCTTTCGAGCCCTCTTAGCCCAAGACTCGACAAATTATCTGGGTCGAATAATAGGAACCCTCGGGTGAGCCCTTTATCACCCAAGGGTTGCTTATCTGTCTACGTGGGGCCCGATAAGCAAAGGTTTGTTATCAAAATTAGTTGCACAAACCACCCCCTCTTTAAGGTGTTGCTTGAACAGGCTGAATCTGAGTATGGGTTTCATGATGGCCCTATAATGCTTCCTTGTGAAGTTGACTTGTTTGTCAAAGTCTTATATGAGATGGAAGCAAATGATCTTGAGGATAACACCAATAGCACACGGTGTAAGTTTCCAAGGAGTCGCAGCTCGTACCACCTTCTCACCACGTCTAGTAGACTAATCGCTTAAATCAATGATCACTATTCAATGTGTTCTTTGTCCGAGACTAATTGTCACGTTGATGGTGTTATTTGATCTAGTGACGTGAAAACTAGCTAATAAAGTTTCGACAAAGAGGTAGTAACTTCTTTTTTTTTTGCCTTGGTGTTGATTTGGTGCCATAAGTTTTAATTTTGGGTGACGACGTATCTAGTGTTAGATATCATTGTTGAGCAACCTTCAATGTACTAAGAACAAGGTCATTAGAAAATGTGCAATTTATTAGCTATGTAATCAATCGTGGGATGGAAGTGTAAAGTATTGGTATTGCGCAATTAAGCTATATAGTTATATACTTGGATTTATACATTTGCATAATATATATATTTTTCGGATTGTTTATATTGAACATTATTATTGTCCTTGTTTTAACTATAATCTTATTTCAACTTTAATACAAATCCCCATTCCATAGATAACAAAGGCCGTAGATTTAGTAATTGTTTCTTGAAATGTAATTAATTAATAATACAAGACAACACAAGAAAGAAGGTTAATCCTCATTGTCAAGCTCTTACAACTAATAAGCTCGTGCAATAGATTAGATTGTCAATGATATGATAAAGCAATTAAGAGCAAAATATAGGAAATAGTGAAAACGAGATCTTAACTAACTTAAATCAAACTTCCCCAATTCAATCAATTAAAAATAATGACTGCGCGAGATTGCAACTTAACTTAGCTACATTAAAACTATTTTTACATGGTATACAGTCATACATACAATAACATGTTGAAGAATAGACTTCTCAAATATCACCACATGTAAGTGTTACACATTCGTTGAAGAATAGAGAGTTAATCACTTTATAAGGTTAAGGGACTACTCCTCCTATTGCCATATGGTTTTGGGATGGAATCTCTTTTGAACTTGTGAAGTGGACTGACTCTCTTAATTTGCGGGTGCGGCTCAGACCCGTATTTAACATAACAAAGAAATATGATAATCCGTATAAAAAAAGTGTAGATATATCAAACCTTAAGTACCACTAATTATGTACTCCATAAAATGCATTTAGTGATATCTAAGTTCTTTTCTTTCCTTTTTTTTTTAATTTTTTTATTTTTTATGATAACAACCAATTATTTCATCGATGAAAACATTATAGATTCTTTGTTTTTATATTTATGAAACTAAAAGAACAACAAAACCTAACTTGTTCTTGTCCAATAAAATAAATAAATTATATAGCATGATGTTATAAAGATGCAAGAAATATCAATAAATAAGAACACAAATTTTACGTGGTCCTTCACTAACGGTGAGCTAGCTACGTATATCCATAATCCATGGGCATATGAAAGGTTGAGTTTATTGATCTAAAAGATAATACAAATCGAAGTAAATATTACAAAGAGGCTCCCGTGATGATTGTTCGAAAGAGGTTAATAGATTCAACATTCAATTTGAAGCATAGTCCAACAGAACAAATGATGACAAAAACACACATAGCTCCAAAAAATTTATACTACTTGTATTTTTTATATTATTGATGGATAAACTCGGAAGTGGGAACTAATTAATTTGGTCACCAACTAATAATACGTTAATTAAGGTATTTGGTATGATAATTTTAGTGGTTAGTACGTTCTTTGTAGCCTGTGGGTGATTGGGTGTTTATAAATTATAATAATAGTATGAGAAATCAATTAGCCGACTCATTTTGTTAAAATCGGGTGAATAAATTTATACACTTCGTATAAAGTAAGGAGTAAGTTATTTATTTATGCTATATAATATACTTCGTATAGTCCAAATAACTATCAATCAATCAAATACTATGTATAAAATTACTATCTTTTGTTCTTTAAATTTTGCTTATTATGGCACATACTTATTTTAATGTTATAAAAAGATAAAATAGTTTAACTTTTGGTATTACTTGTATTGTTTATTAGAATAATTGTTTCATTTGATTGAGTATGTTGTTAATGAACAATTCTAATCTTTAATAATTGATATTATTAATCATTTGATATAATTTTAAGTTTATAAATTAAGACATATATGCACATACTAATAGCCTAACATGACTACGTTTTCTTTATACATGTTGTACTACTTTTATATAAATCTCCAATAAAAAAATCAAATTAAAGCATATAAACAATGTCATGAATACAAATTAAACTACCGTATTTGATACTGTAAATTTAAAATATTGAAAATATTGGAGTAATTGACAAACTAATGAATACAACGATTTCTAACAACAATGATTAGATGTATATATAGAGAATTTTTAATTATTGTTACTACCTAAGTACGTAGTATTAATCTAGAAAAAAATAAATATAAAAAAACAGTGATAGATCCCACGATTTCTACATCCTATGAACTGTAGTTGGACCATACTATTATGAATGATTGATTCACAAGGATAATTTAAAGTCATTGGTCCATTTTCAAATCTCAACATAATTGACACGTGGCATTATTAATATTTTGTTTTATATATAATTGTACTAATTAAGTTGACATTTTTTTTATGCACTTTATGTGGCCTATGTTATTAGGACGGAGCAAGGGGATACTTTACAATTGTGTTTCTTTTTGATTTAAATATCTTTGACGCAAATGTCCCTACAAGACAAAGTCACATTGATGTATACTTTGACAATGCCCAAAATAAACGATCGATTCTTGTTCATCTTACCAAACCAATACGCTCTTTTGATTGTTTCCATGGTATTTAAAAAAATGGTCCTAATGAGATTTTATAATATACCAATTGCATACCACTCAAGCAATTCATCAATGATTATATCGTTCATAAATGACGAGGAGTGTCTGGTTAGTCTGATAATAAGTTGTAAATTAAATTAAATGGATATGAGATATGCAAATCGAGACAAAGAAGTTATTCAAGCATATTGTTCATCAATTTGAATAGATCAGTGTCATCACTAAAAATAATATTAGTTCTATGTTTGTAAGGTATTTTAATTAATTTGGATTGTTTCATTTAACGAGTCGTGGCTATGGACTCGGCAACATGTTCTATGTATGAAAAAACATGCATATTCGTATACGAGTAAGAAGATTTGTGTCGATGTTCTGTAGCTTTAATCGATAAAGGAATTAAGGGGGTACAAAGATGTATTATTGTACCTAATTTCCATAATGTGTAAAAAAAAATTTACGGAGTAAAATGTAATTGGTTCATACTTCGTATATTAATTGAAAAGGGTGAAAAGAATGGTATGGTTAACCCTTAGAGAAAAGGGTTGCGTCCTCATGCCCAACTCCGATTGAATGGTAATTACCCACCTTTAATGGTTGAGTGCTCCAATTTAGGAGAGAGAAAATTTAAGATGGAGAGAGAAAATGTTCCGAATTATAAGAACAGAGAGAAAATGTTCGTTAATGCCGTCTAATTAGAGGTGATCAACATTGGCCCGGCCCGAGCCGACTCGAAAATTAGGTGGGTTTAGGCAAGCATAAAAATGAATTTTTAGTTAAAAAGCCCGAATCTGGCTCGAAAAAACCCGAAAAGCCTATTTTGGCCCATTACTTTTTACTGGTTTGGGCACAAAAAATTATATTAAGGCCCGACCCGATTTTTTATCACCTCTACGTCTAATGTTGTCTGTTATTCATTGAAAATGTCAGTAATGCCTTTAACATTTTTAATGGAAGTACATCAAAACCCCTTAATATGAATTTGCTCCTAATTCATTATCATTCTAATACTCACGATTTATGATTGCTTATCAAACAGACCATGAGAGTATTAGACTATACATAATCAACAAAAATCAAAGGCCCAACCTTACTAGTTCCGGTACAGCCTTCTACGAGTAGGATTAGAGCTTATTCACTTTTAAGTTTAATCAAGCCCATTTCATCTTCAATCATTCCTTATCAAAAGAATAAAAAATTGTACCGCCAAAAATTAAAATATGATTTATTTTTGCGTAATAAGATTAGTTTTCAGCAAAAAATTTGCTATCCCACCTAAAAAAAAACCCAAAGAAATCAACTCAAAAACACACTCAACTCATCAACAATGGAGTCAACAACGAAGATCACCATTCTTCACAACGCACTAATCGTAACCATGGATTCCGAGCTCCGAGTTTTCGAAAATGGCGCTGTTGTCTTCGACGGCGATAAAATCACCGACATCGGAAAATCCGACGATATTCTCCGCCATCACCGTGCTTCCGACGCCACTCTCCACGACCTGAACGGCCAATTCGTTCTTCCTGGTTGTTATTCTCATCTTTCTCTCTCCTTTGACCAATTATTTTGAATGTGTTTGGGAAATTAGGGTTTGATTTGCTGGTATGTTGATGAAATTGATGATTGACTGATAATTAGGGTTTGTGAACACGCATGTTCATACGTCGCAGCAGCTAGGAAGAGGGATTGCAGATGATGTTGATTTGATTACTTGGTTGCACGGTCGAATTTGGCCTTATGAGTCTCATATGACTGAGGAAGATTCCTTCATTTCTTCTTTGCTTTGTGGAATTGAGCTCATTCACTCTGGGTTACGTCTCTACACAATGCTCTTATTTACTTCAATCCTAGATTTCGCTTATACTAAGGTTTATATGAGCTTATATCTTAACTTGTCGAAATTTATCCGGAGTTATTGTAGTTGTGAATTGAACTCGGGTAGCCCTTATTGTAATTTATCGGCCCTTATACTTTCATAAAGAAGACATGAACATTTGACACCTAGGATTTACCAAAATACGGACAAAGAGGCTCCTACAATAGATAGGTTGGGGGGGGGGGGGGGGAGGGTGAGGGAGGGTCATATGTACGCAACCTTGCATCGAGTAATAGAAAAGGATATCTTTGGTTTTTCTTTATTTTGATGGGCAACGAATATCTCCTACTTGATGAGAAATATATGTTTGTGTAGTTTGATAAGCTACTCTCCAAAAAATTTGTTCATGTAATATGTATGTATATATATACCTACAAAATTTATGGATATATAATCTTTTGTTGTCCTTATGATGCAAAGAAGTCGTTTGAGATGTAATATACAAGTATAATTTTTATATTCTTTGGGCTTTCACATTAGGCTTTGATAAAGGAGATTGTATTCACATATTAATCAAATTAGGGTTAAGTTGATTGGGAATAAGGGGAGTAGCCCACCCTAAATTCTTCTCCTTTTGCTTAAACGCATCAATCACATAAGTGGGGTCGGTTACATGAACCAACATGAGGACACAAAATTTTACACATGCTTTCATTGGCCTATTGTAACCCTCCTCCTTTATCTAGGCTTGAGATTGGCAACGGTAAACCTATTAGCAGAGTTAGCCCACCCCAACTCTATTGTCAATATTTATTTTTAAGTTGTGAAATCCATGTGTGACTTGTCCTATATTCCGTGTTCCTTAAGAAATGGAAAGTGGATATATGAGTCTGGTAAGTTACTTTAAAGATTGCCGATTGTTACTTGGGTTTTTACATAGTAAAACTCCTCTCTTTTATGTTGGCCATGGGAGGGTTCAATCACTTCAATGTAACACAAATTGAATTAATGGGTATGCTTACCTTTAAGCTATAAATGGGATGTAGTCTAGTTGATAATTGATATCTTTCATTTCATTCTTTGGGAAAGTTTGATGTTTAGCTGTACTCTATGCCCTACCTATCTGCCATCCTAGATGGGTATGATGCAACATTGATTTTATGAGTTGGGGTAGGGATTGCTGTGTTAGCTTGGAATTACTTCTTAAATTTAAAGTTGCTTTGAGACTTCTATTAATCATGCACTGCCCTCCATATTTTATTTTGCTTGAGTTCATGATTGCTGAAGTCCGCATAAGAGAAAATTATTAACCTCAGGTGCTAACATACTCTTTGCAATGGTTCAAAATGTTTTTATTTTCATCTTCTTAGACTGTGCAAACATCCTAAAGGGTCTGATTGTTTTCTGGAACCAGGTGACTTGTTTTGCAGAAGCAGGGGGGCAGTATGTCTCTGGAATGGCTAAAGCAGTAGAGTTGCTTGGCTTACGTGCATGTTTAACAAAATCAATTATGGATTCTGGTGAGGGTCTGCCGGCTTTGTGGAGTTCTCAAACTACTGATCAATGTATTCAGGTTTGCCTACTAGCGCTATCTTCGAGATAGATTATCCAGGCAGTTGTTCACCAAATTTAATGTTTTTCTTTTAAGGTCTCAGTCTCAGAAAGAACTTTATGAGAAGCACCATGACACTGCAGAAGGACGGATCAGGGTATGGCTTGGAATTCGGCAAATTTTGAACTCTACTGATCGCTTGCTCTTGGAGACCCGGGATCTGGCTAGGGAATTGAACACTGGAATTCACATGGTACTACTCCATTTAGTTCTTTGCACCTTTTCTCTTTTCTCTTAAGATGTAACTCTTTTGCTTCATGTCTTAATATTTTTATGCTTTATTATCCAAAATAATTAAAGTTACCATAATAAGAAAGAGTTTGAAAATAGGTATTATCAATTGTGTAAAGAACAACTTTTATTTTGTAGAAGACTAGAAGGTAACGATGCACCTTTGGTGCTAAAAAATGCCAAGGATGGGATTAGGCCAAGGCATTACGCCTTAGTGTGGGGCGTTGGATGGTGCTTCTCAGCCAAGGCATGGCCATCTTATAGGCATGGGGCATGGGCACAAGACATGTGCATATGATAAGCCATAAAAGGCTAAAAGCACCCTAATCTTAAAAAACAATTAATTTTTGGCAATTAAAGTTACCGTCTTGGTTTGCCTTATAAGGTAGTGCAAGGCCTATGAATTACTAAAGGAATCATAAGACAAGATGACATAGGATGGTGTACGGCATGAATGAGATGATTTAAGGCACCAATTAGGCCTTTGTGAGTCCTCTTGGAACTCTAAGTATAACTTCAATGCATAAACTTATTGGGTCCAAAAACGTTCTAGCCAAATTTAAAGGATATATACACGAAACCTCACCAATTTCGGAGGTTATAAGACCTATTGTCGAAAACTCTAGGATCATAGAGGATGCATTCTGTGGCTATGTAATGTTGTTTGGAATCGTATACAGCCGTTAGTTGGTCACATAAAGGCATGCGCGTGTTAACTTTGAATCAATGAAAGGAGACATATGTGTAAGCAATTAAACTGCCAGTTAAGCAAAGCTGGTATTGTCAACCCACCCAAATGGCCTTGGGTGGGGTACACGAAAAGCACACTAACTTGTTTACTTTCTAAAAGTAGAAAATTTGTCCAAAACTAAAAACTATACACGTATTAAAACCAATTTTGGAGGTTTTAGGCCCAGCGTTGAAAACTATTTGGATGGTAAGGGATGCATGCATCTTGGGGTCTATAATGTTTTATGGGAACCATATAATGACCACTAGTGACCTATTTGGCCACATAAAGGTCCATGATGACTTTGAGTTAATTAAGGGAAGTGTGTATGTAAACATTTAAAATGACGATTTAAAGGAAATTTGGATGGTTCTAACCACCTAAATAGCCTTCCAAAGTATCATGAGGTCAATGGAAAGAGTGTTTGAAAATATGCGCCTTTAGGCGCAAGGCAATAGGGGGTAAGTGTTTTTTTGGGCCTGGGAGAGGCGTTTTCAATAAGGTGTGTCTGTGGCGCACATGAAGCAAATTTCTACCAATTTTTTTAACTGTTTGTATAGTGCGCCTCACTTAAAGAGGCGCATTGAGGTGCTCCTTAGGCGCACCTAGGCACTGCATAACTTTTATTGCAAGCTTTTTATACATTAATGGAAAGAACCCCGGCCTTTTTTCTTTCTGGTGTGGAAAATTTAAAAATTCTTCATAATTGAAGACACAAAATTGAAATTTCAAAGTTTTTGAAATCCAATGTCGAAAAAATACCGGGATTGTGCATCCAGGGGTCATATAATATTCTCATATGGCCATTAATCGGTCATAAAAAGTCTCGTGGTGGTTTTGAATTGATGAAGGAAGGTGTAAGTTGTAATTGGGTAAATTGGTAGTCTATAAGAAAGGCAAACCAAACGTTTTCAATCACTCAATGGACTCCTTGAGTGCCTTCACGCCTTGACCTCTTCCTTTTTCGAGTTTGAAAAAGTTGAAAATTGTCCAAAACTTAAGGCTGTAATTGACACTTTCTAGCCAATTTTGAGAAATTTTCCCAAAATTGCAATGGATAAGTAGGGTATCCCGCGGTGCTAGTTTGGAACCACAACAAGCATGCCAATAGTTGTAAAGGTGTATAAAGTCTTAATGATGTATTTGGTTCATTTATGTGGCTATTTCGAAATTATGTTGCATTGGTGGTGAAAAGCTTCAAGATATAGTTATTTGTACAACAAACTTGATAACCCAGGTCCCATTAAGGTGTATGGAGTCCTTCATCTTCATTAGTGCTGTTAATTATTTCCAAATTTATTACTTACCATAATATCAGTAAATAACATGGGTTGTTTACATTATGACCCCTTTCTTTTTATCTTAATGATACACTTTCCATAAACCTCACTTTTTTTAAGTGACAAATTTCCATATTTTCTCTCCTCATGGTCGTACATTCTTTTTCTCTCATCTCACATCCTAATATTTAATCCTCTCAACTAACCACCATTACCTAAATATTATATGTGATGTATATTTCTCCTAAAACTCTGTGTGGAAACTAGTGTTTAATGGAGGGAGAACTATTGTACTATGAACAGTTTTTTGAAATTGTCGAATAAAAAATAGTTTGCAAATAGGTATTGTCGATTGTGTAAAGTACTACTTTTATTTTGTGTAAAGATATTAGGGGTAAGTCCCATTGCTGTATCCTTAACTTTCATGCTTCTCTGTTCTTATTAGGTTATTGAGATGAATTATAGTCTGAATGATTTTGGTTTAGTGACAGACAACAACCTAAGCTTGCTCATTATATTCCATAATTCATGTTTGGGTCCTTTATTTTGTAATATCGAGTCTAAAAACCTAAACATGTAAACATTTGATGAAGATTTCCTACAACACACATGCTTCAAAACACTAGTTTGCAAAAAGCATTGTGAGATATGGATTTTCTTTCATCTTTCCCCTTTTTGTTTTTTTGTTAAGAACAGGGTCCTGTTTAAAAAGTGCTGGCAATTAACTTGAACTAATTCAGATTTTCTTTCCATTAGTTTGTTGTTTTGTTGATAATAATTTGAACTAAGGTAACTGTTTTATGCATTGATTTTTCTGTCACTATATCTTCTGATTATCTTGATGTATATGTATGTTTTTTCTAAATAGCATATTGCTGAGATTTCATATGAGAATCAATTTGTTGTCGACACAAGAAAAGTTGATCACGGAACAGTGACTCATTTGAAGAAGATAGACTTCCTCCAAAGTAATCTACTGGCAGCTCACAGTGTTTGGGTCAACGATAATGAGGTAATCTTTCCGTGGATCTTTTTCTTTTCTCTTATCTGCAAATACTTTTAAGAGGGATAAAGTGTTGATGGACATATTCAAATCTTATTGTGGATTATAAAACTGCTGTGGTAGTTGTTCGGGATTGCTTGGTTAACTTGTTTCATCACTTATCGGAAATTGAATTCAACTTGTTACTATTTACTATGATACATCTCACTTTACCTAATCGGGTGTTGAGTTACAAAGCTGCCTAAATTTACTGCTGCTCTTCCAAAGCTTTGCTTTTGTTTACAGTGTAACAGATTTTTATAATCCTGTCAAATCTGTTTGAAATAAGGTTTTTTGCAGAGACATAAAGTTGTGGTAGATCTGTATATGTGAGATCTCTAAGAATCTGAACTAAGGAGAAACACCTCACCTAGGGAATTTGAGTATCATGCTTTTTTTTTTCTATGGAAAACCGTGAACACCAGCTAGTGCTTGTATGTGACTACTGTTTCTTGTCCCCTAACAGATTGGTTATCTCTCAACGGCTGGGGTGAAAGTATCTCATTGTCCAGCTGCAGCAATGCGGATGCTTGGATTCGCACCTGTTAGGAAAATGATTGATGCTGGAGTTTGTGTCTCTCTTGGAACGGATGGAGCTCCATCAAACAATAGGATGAGCATTGGTATACCTGAATGGTTGAATAATTATTTCAGTTATAGTGTTATGGTGTGTTATCTTTGGAGAAGACATTTTCATTTTGTGGTGTATGATAAAGCATGGGTTAATATACAAAAATAATTCCTTGTTGGTTCCTGTGTAGTTGATGAAATGTACCTAGCTTCACTGATAAATAAAGGCCATGAAGTATTTACAACTGGAACGACAGATCCTACAGCTCTGTCTGCTGAAGTTGTTTTTAGAATGGCAACTATAGATGGTGCTAAAACTGTGCTATGGGACAATGAGATAGGATCACTTGAAGTTGGTAAGAAGGTTAGTGTGACAGCTTTATATATTCTATCCTGTGCCCCTATACGTTTTGAGCTTGTATTGAAATTTCACGTACTTGGCCTGTTTGCCACTATCCTCTCATTTTCTCTCCCTCTCTGTTGGGACTGGAGTAGAGCCACAATTGTTGAGTCATATCTTACACATATGATTGTTTCTTAGCAGCATCCATCTAATGCTGGCTTGACCCGTTGAGAGTCTAGCCTATGTCATCTTAAGTAGTTTATAACACTTACATATATGTTACTTTCTTTTTGGAGCTTTTAATGATCAATATTTTTTTTTTCTTCCTAACTTGTAGGCTGACATTGTCATTATTGATCCTTGCTCTTGGACTATGGCTCCAGTTCATGACTGGTAAATAGACTTCCAGACAGTTTTCCTTATAATTATTATGGTGCAAGTGATATCTTTCTCCCAACTTCTCTATTTTCTCCATTATCGTTCTTGACTTGTGATAGAATGTAAATAGTTATTTTGGGGTCATAGTCTTAGGTTAGGCGTTAAGAGTTTAGACAGCTACCACAGTTTTTTGAATCGATGCTGGCTGTTGTTCAGGATACTGTAGTTTTAATTGGATGTGAATAAGCAATCCTTAATGAAGAAGTGATTTGTTGACCTATGTGATTTTGCCATTAACCAAGATTAGGTCTCCAAATCAGTAGAGTTGTAGGGCCTTTCTAGACATGCATTCCTAATTTCCTATACTACGCGAGTATACGTAAATCTCCAGCAAACATACATCACATAGATGTAGTAGACAGATGAAGGTTAAGATGCAGAGAGATCGAGTAAATCCCTGTTCAGGCTGTCTAGCCAGACTTGGTATAATGCAAGATGAAATGTAGTCTGTCCTGGGTTATTATTGTGTGTAGTAGTACATGTCGCTACATGTTGAAACCCCATATGAATTGCACATTATTGTGAATTTTCCTACTTTGTAGGAGAAATACTTACCAACTCATAAGCTTGAGGAATTACTCCTTCCATCAATCCATTGGATTCTGGAATACCTCCTCTTAGGCTTGAATTCCACACTACATAGTAATTTTTTATATATATATTTTGCAGCATATCTAGCCTTGTGTACAGCATGCGAACTGAAAATATCTTATCTGTTATATGCAATGGAAAGTGGATCATGAAAGACAAGAAGATCTTGAATGTGGACGAGGTAATTCTTTTAATTGCTGTCCATTCTCTTCGGCTCTTCCCTATTCTGTTTTGTGTAGTCTTTGTGTGTGTGCTTTTGTCAATTGAAAACTGTTTTCCTTAGAGACATGCAATTGCCTGTGTAAATTTTCTGCTAGATTTTACTAATCAAAATTCGTGAAATAATGCACTATAAGATTTCTGATCTTGTGAATTTCTTGATGCTTTGATTGCCTAGCAATTTCATTCGTTCCTTGCAAATGAATTTTCCTTTCATTACTTCTGCTTCACTGTCATTTACCTTAGCCTATATTTACTGTTGTTGATCTTTTGAAATCTTCTCATCTTTAATCATCGTCAACTTTATTTTGATCTAAATCAGTCTTATTTCTATACGATCTATATTCTATGCTAATATTTGGAAATTTTAAAGCCTGCCCATTGCATTACGTTCCTGGTTAATGGCTTCTTGGCATCATGTCTTCTTAAAAAGTTTTACTGGATGTATGAAGTTTTTTTTTTGTAAACATTTTATAAAAATTTGTATTTATATAACTATTTATGCCGCACAGAAAGAAATCATTTTACAAGCAAAGAAAGCTTCAAAAGAACTTTTGGAAAGGGCTGGCATTAGTATTCCAAAAAGAATGAAGATGATCTGATCTGTCCTTCAAGAAAGTCTCTGCCTTGTCCATGATCTGTTTTGTCGACTCACTTCTGAAGATTTGCCTAAGAAATTGCATGAAATGGCCCGTATTTGGTGTTTGAGTTCTTGATTTGCTTTTTGATTTCGATTCAATATGTTTTTGAAGTTGTATCTTCTGGAAATATGTGAGCATAAACTCAACTAGGTTTGCCGTCTCAGCTTCTCTCAAGTCTCAAGGCAACAACACCAACCTTTTAGCTTCCTTGTAATCGTGCTTGGTGGCGTTGGTGTCAATGATGTGCATAATTTGTGGCGTTGGCAGAGTACGTGGAATCGATTCAATTTTGATTTAACTTTGTGGAATCAATGGCAATGTTTAGGGAGTATTTCAAAAAGATAAATTACTTCGGGGTATGTTTAGTTCACCTTATTTTTGTTTATGGAGGATCTGGTTTTATATGCTTAATTTATTTTATTAAACTTTGACTTCTACGTTAATGGAAAAAAACAATACTATCAAATGGGTTTTATTAGATTTGTAATAATTTGGATTCTTTTATTGCGCAACTTTCATAACCTTTTATATTATGAAATTAGAGGTTTTAGCAATGAAAAATCACACATAAAATGATTGAATAGATATGAAGTTAATTTTTTCAATCTGATCTAATATAATAAGGTCCTTAAATAAGATAAATTAGAAACTTAAAAGGCGGAATCATAATTACCTTTATTTGTAGTATTTTTTAAAACAAATCTAATATATATAAATAAAGTATGCATTTTTGGAGAGCATTGGGAGCGCCACATAAGAAAAGGTATATTTTCGACCAATTAAAAATTAGATTTCTATTTTATTTTAGAATTAAAAAAATCACTCGCCACCTAAACAAAAGTGACGAATGAAATTTTAAATTTTTGCCACGTAGGTAAAAACGACGAATAGTAATTTATTTGGATTTTAATTATTTAAGAACATTAAATTTTATCATTTTTATTTGTTACAAAACTAAAAATTATTTTTAGATATTAGGATTTATATTATTTAAAAAACTAAAAATTATATTTTAATATTTAAAAATATAAATTATCATTTGATGTTAATGGTTTTATGTAAATATCTGATGATATGATACTTTCATATAAAATTTTAAAACTTATAATGCAAGAAAAAAATTAAGAGATCACCAAATACAAAATGTATATAAAAATTCGTGCATTGCATGCCACATAAGCAAAAGTAATATTTCGCCCAATGAAAAATTAGATTTATATGTTGATTTAGAATTTTAATTTTCTGTCGCCATTTAAGAAAAATTAACAAATGAAATTTGAGAATTGAAAACAAAAAATAGTAATTTAAGATTTAAATTATTGAAAAAAAACAAAAATTATCTTTTACATTATCTTTTACATTAGGATTTATATTATTTTAACAAATAATTAGAAATTAAAAAATATATTTTGATTTAATGATTTTATCTAACTATCCGATGAATGAGATAATATTTATTTCAATTTATAAATTCAAGTTCTATACACGTAAAATTCGAATAAAAATAATTTAAAACTTAACAAAATATTTTACCTTAAATTAATGTTAAAATAATAGAATAGAAAATAAAAACAAAAAATATTAAAAAAAATTACAAAAAAAATATACAAAATGAAATATTTAAAAACCGTGCATCGCACGGGCTTACATCTAGTATGGTATGTATTTATGGGATGAAATTAATTAGTTTATTCGTTGTATGCATTATCATTTATTATTTTTATTTTAAAATAAATTTTGAATTTCCATGTCAAAAAATAATATTTTATATTTAATTAATTTAAACTCTAAAATCTCATTCGTTAATTTTTCTAATGTGGAATTTAAATAAAAAGAATTTATAATCATACGTGACATTTGGGGAAAAAAAAAACTACGAAAATTTCACCATATACCACTGAGTTTAAGCATAATTCACCGTATACCACCAAAAACTTTCTAATACACCATATACCACTCAGTTATTGTATATTAACACAAAATGCCCTTTTTGCTAACTGTCGTTAGTCTGCCGTTTGGGGGACTTTACCATTATGCCCTTATACATCTAACTGGCGCCATTGATAGGGTTGACTCCATTGACCCCCCATTTCCCCTTTCCATTGAAGCTTCTCTCTGTTCTTCTCCATTAAAATCGAACCCCAAAATCAATCAAAAAGCTTCAAACTTTCATCGATCCCCCTGGCGGCAACAATTGCGATCCCAGCCACTTCCCAGATGGCCGGCGACTGCCCTCCCCTGGTCCCTTCCCCCCGCCGGCGACATTCTCGACCCCTTCCCCCTACGCCGGCGACCATCCCACTCCTACTCCCCTTCCCCGAAAATCATCCCCCACCTGTAACCCATTTCCCGATTTCCTCGCCGGACTCCCCTTCCCCGATTCCCGATCTCTCTAACCCTAAAAAAATCCTCAATTTCCCTCTTGCAAATCCCAATTGGAATATCGACGGCAAAGAAACCACCCATCAAATCTTGACGAAGAGAGAGAAGGTCGAATTAGAAGCGAATTTGTTCGAAAAAAATGCTGATAAGTCGAATTGATGTTGTTGTATGGTTGCAGATTTTGAGTGTTGTCGGTTCAGGGGGAGAGGGAGGCCGACGCGCTGGCGAGAGAAAGGCTGGGCGCCGGCGTGGGTGGGGGCGGGATAGGGTGGTGGCTGGGGGCGGGATAGGGTGGTGGCTGGGGGTTCTAGTCATATTTCGTGCAAGCAGGGGATGTTAGGATAGGGTGGTGGTTGGCTGGGAGACGTTGGTGGTTTGGGAGGAGGACGGGAAGGGGAGATGGCAGGGGTAGGGGGAGCTCTGGAAGGCCGGCGAGGGACGAGGCTAGGCAAGGCCGCCGGCGAGGGAGGAGGCTGGGCAAGGCCGCCGGCAGGGAGGGGGAGCTGGGCTGGTGGGGGAAGGGGGTGTCGGGGTTGGTGGAGTGAGGAGGTGGTGGATGTTTTTTTATTAATTTTTTATTTAACTAATTAATTAGATAATATTAATAAGAGCCAATATGTGACAGCCACGTGGCATAATTAACCTTAATTACTAACGGCGTTAACGGCAGACTAACGACAGTTAACAAAAAGGGCATTCTGTGTTAATATACATTAACTCAGTGGTATATGGTGAATTAGAAAATTTTGTGGTATATGGTGAATTACGCATTAATTCGGTGGTATTTGGTGAAAAATCCGAAAAAACTATAATCCTACGTGACTTTAAATTTAGGGAAATTCTCGATGGTAGCCTCCAACTATTGCTTTGCTTATTCTCAATGGTAGCCAATTTTTTTTTTTTTTAGATTCTCAATGGTAGCACTCTACTTTTTAAAAGTTACAACCGTAACCTTATTAACTCTAAACTGTTAAATGTCTGTTAACTTTAACTATAGTCAATCATTTTCTTTCTGTTAACCATTTTCTCTCCTCCCCTTCATAAATCTTCCATGGCAGCCACCTCCACCTCCAACCCCTCCACCACAACACCGTACCCTCCACACTCCACGATACACCCACCCCTTCTCCGTCCCCCTCCCCCCCTACACTGCAATGCCACCCCTTCAAGTCAATTAAACCAGCCCACAACGACAATATAACACAATTCCGCCATTTTCATCTCTTTGAAGCTCCCTTCAATGGCATATTCTCTCAATTTTATTTGGCATCGTTTCTTGCTTCTTACAATTTACAAAGCTGTGAAAAGCTCACCAAACCTTTTTATTCCAATTGCTACCCCATCATTCTTGGGAATTTTGATCCTTTTCCTTTTCCTCCACCGCTACCTTCGCCGCCATTGCCGTCGTCCTCTAAAAGTCATATAGCTCCTTTCTTCTCGGAATCTCCTTTCTTCTCCTTACGACTTGTACAATCATTTTAAGGGTTTGTTTTACCGACAGGACAAAAGGAGTTTCTCCGTCAAGCTCCGACGATGAACGATGGTGGGTCAACTGTGAACCACCCAATTTGGCATATAGCTACAATTGGGCTTCCACAATCTGTAATTGCTTCAATAACTACTTTCAAGTATACAAAAAAAAAAAAAAAAAAAAAAAAAAAAGGATCTTGTTCTGTTTGTTTGACTTAGTTTGGTGAAGCTGATACTTATATATTGTCAGTATAGTCATGCTTTTCATATTTAATTTCTTGTATTGATACTTAGTTAAGGTTTCATAAGAATTGCCCTCTTTTGTCGGGCTGCTGTTTTGAATGAGATTGAGAGGGGTAATTCTGGTACATGTAAGGGGGTTGAATTTCAGTCGCTTGACAATGGAGGGAGGGAGGAGGGTGGCTCGACAGTAGAGGGAGGTGGGAGGGTGGCTGGGAAGTGGAGGGGGAGGAGGGTTTTTTTTTTTTTTTTTTTTTTTAATTTTAAAAAAAGCTAACCTTGGTTTAGATTAAGGTTGGATTTAACAGAAAAACATAATAAAGGTTACGGTTGTTGCAACTTTTAAAAAGTAGGGTGCTACCATTGAGAATCTAAAAAAAATTTGGCTACCATTAAGAATAAGCAATAGTTGGAGGCTATCATTGAGAATTTCCCTTAAATTTATAATGCTGCGTGGCCCGGGAAACCATGTAAGAACTTTAAATATTGTTATGGAGTATATATTCCCTCAATTTTCCAGATTTAAGGGGTGATCAATGACAATGGGTAGAGGAAATACAAATTATAACATTGATAACATTACAATAAAAAGTTGTACAAAGCTTTGCGCTTTAATAATAAATAACTATGGTTGTTAATGCATGTGATGTACACGCTATGGTTAGTTATGTTTATATAATCCTTTTAATTGTTAGCAATATTTGGTGAGAGAAAACGAAAGTATTTTTATAGGTATAAATATTCGCACATTATTTTGAGATTTAAAATAAATAAACCACCAACATTAATGCAAGCAAATAAGTAAGGGAAATTCTCTTTGGTAACACCAAAGTATTTGATTTTCTCAGTGGTAAACAGTTAAAAAACTTATTATCGTTGCTAAACTTGTATTATTGTCTACCAAAGATAATTACAATTTTAATTAAAATCTTTAACCATGGTTAGTTTTTGTATTTTTAACAATTAATTTATATTATTTTAGTGATAATATAAATTTAAAAAATACAACCACCCTTCCCCTCCCTAACCGGTGCCACCCCCACCCCTGCTGGTGCCACCGACGCCCAGCCTCCACCTCCGGACAGCGGCGCAGCTCCCACAACCGCTGGCAAACCCCTATCCAACGCCCTTCTCATTTGCCCCATCTGACATCCTGTCTTCTTCAAGGCTAAATATCAATTTCATTCACGCCTTTCATGGTTAATTGCTTCATCTCAACTCTCCCCCACCAACAGCAACCAAAAATGGCAGCGTCGTCACTACTCCAACCACCAAATCGCCACCATCCTTTGCCATTCCTCCACCACCGCCGCTTAAACCTCGCATCACAAGGAAGAAAGCCAAAACTCGCCTTCCTTCGCCGCGACTACGCTAAGCGTCACTACTCAAAGCGGAATTAGGGTTCAAATTAATTCCAATTACCTGTAATATCTTGTTCAATTGTGAGAAATTAGGGTTTCGATTACCTGAAATTCGCAAATTATTTTTATTTATTTATTTTTTTGTAATTTTCGATGGTGGTGAGGTGCGAGAAAGGAGAGAGGACGGGGAAGGGTGTTCGGCGGGACGGCGGGAGACAGGGTGTACGACGGGGAAGGGGTTGGGCGTTGTCAAGGAGGAATGAGGTAAGGAGGGAGGCTGGGCGTCGCAGGTGGGAGCGTCGCCGGCCGGGAAGGGGGTGTTTGGTGCCGGCAGAGGAGGAGTGTGGCTGGTGGCAAGGGTGTGAGGGAGAAGAAAAAAATATATTTTTTATATTATTTAATTATTTATAAAACTTAAAATCTAACCCACAACCTCTAAATATAGTTAAAAATAAATCATTAATGTTATAAGTAACTCAAGGACAATAATTGGATGTTACCAATGATAATAAGTTTTTCAACTGTTTACCACTGAGAAAATCAAATACTTCGGTGTTACCAAAGAGAATTTCCCAATAAGTAATTTTGAGGATATTATTGTCCAAGTAATATTCATAAAGTTTAATTATTAAACCATATACAAAAAAAAGCCTGAATGCATATAACATTATACGTGTAATGTGTATATTTGTCTTTGTTCCTCATGTGAACCATTGTCGAAATGAACTATCACCGCCACCATCTTCTTCCTTCAACTCCTTTATTCCAAAACTGGAAACCGACCAGTCGACCATCATCATCTCTTCATACGAACCAACCACAAATGGAGCGGGGCATTAGGGCATTTGACTTGTGAGTAAGACCTTAGAGAAGGTAACAGTGAATGATGAGAGTAACCATAATGGGAAAATCGAGTTACTTGTAACTTGTATAGACAAGTGGAGTTTTTAGGGATTTAGGATATACTTTATTCACTTGAATTTAATTAATCTAAATTTATGTTATCTTATTTGAATATATCTAAACTTACCTAAAATTCTTGAGTTAAACCCTCATATTATACGATATGATTATTATTATTATATTGTATGCTAAAGTTAAATAAAATATCATATAATATCAATGGTATCTTATCTTCTTTAAATATTGGTTGTTAATATACACACACTAGATGAAGCCCGTGCGATGCACGGTTTGTTTGATTTTTTTTAAATAATGTTTTTTTTTGTATTTATGAGCCTAAAATTTATTATATAATTAGATAAAATTCCTAATATTAAAAGATAATATATAATATTTAATTAATTTAAACTTAAAAATCTCATTCGCCAATTTTGCTTACATGGCATTTAAATTATTTAATTCTAAAAGAAATTAATAATCTCTTATTTAATTGGAAACTACTAAGATTTATAATCCTACATGGCGCGCTGAGAAAATTAGATCCTACGTGGCTCTCTAAAAACTCGGGAAAAAACTCCCCTTTTTATATATATATATATATATATATATATATATATATATATATATATATATATTAGTTTTGTGCCCCGTGCGATGCCCGGGTTATTTATAGACTTTTAAGATAAAACTATTTTATAATTCAATTTGATTGAAAATAAAATTCTAAATTAACTTTTTTTTGCTATAAAATCTATCTATATTTATCGAACGTGGTACGACACTTGGCGAAAAGTTAAAACGCTAAATGATGATGTTGTCTTGTGGCCTAATTATAAGTTTATTATTTAAGGTGACGCGACACTGATTTTTACAAGTCTATTTAAATCTATTTTATTTTATTGAAAATAAAACTCTAAATTAACAATTTTATCCTAAAATTCTATACAAATTTAATTCAAAATAGAATTCTAAACTAACCTTTTTTTTTATCTTATGAAGTGTATTTAAATCTATCCAACGTGGCGCGACACTTGGCGAAAAGTTAGAATGTCAAGTGTCGCTGTCTCGTGACCTGGCTAAAAGTTTAGCTTTATATATATGTGTCGCTGTCTCGTGACCTGGCTAAAAGTTTAGCTTTATATATATATATATATATATATATATATATATATATATATATATATATATATATATATATATATTAGATTGACACGTGATTTGACATACATTTCCAAATTAATACCCCTTTATGGTATATTAGATGAAGTTCGTGTCATGCATGATTTGTTTGTATTTTTTACAACAATTTTTTTTTATATATATTTTTTTTAAACAAGCCAGCCAAGCAAATTTACAATACCAGTCGAACACCAAATAAAATTTGTTATTTTATTCATTATACGTAATATATCATTTAATTAATTATATATAATTCCTAATTTTAAAATATAATATTATATACCGTACTTAATTAATTTAAACTTTAAAATCTTATTCATCAATTTTGCTCATGCAACATTGAATTATTTAATTCTAAAAAGAATTTACAAATCTCTTAATTTTACCCGACACATTAAGAAATTTTATATATATATACACATTAAGAAATTTTAGAGTATTAGATAGATTTTAAAAGCTTATCTTTTTTTTTTTGAAAGGATTTTAAAAGCTTATCTAACCCTTAAGGACTTTTGTTAGCAATGTTAATTTCATATTCCTATGATAAAATCATATCCTATTATCAGTACTAGTAAGTCGTTAATAACTTAAAACTCTCATTAATTTGGAAAAGTCTAGAAAATAAAAAAAAAATAAAAAAACCATCAGAATCTTCCAGAATTTCCTAGATTAACCTAGAATTTTATCCTTAATCCATGCACCCTTCACCCTCATCTTTCCGTATTAAAACCCCTTTAATCCTTTATCAGTTATCACCCCTTCACAAAATCACACGAAAAAACCAAAATCCTTGAAAAAAAACAAAACAAAAAAATCTCACCTTTTTGAAAAAAATCCAAAAAATTTATGATGGAACCTCCGTTCTTCAATATTCACTACCAAACTCCTACGCCACCGCAATTCCGCCGTTTTCCGGTGAATATTCGGCCAACCGCCGCCGCCCAAACGACGCCGTCTCGGCGGCGTAAGGTGATATCTATCCCTATCCACGACGAGAATTCCTTGAGAAAAAGGTCCGATTCTGCAATCAGGATCCAGAAAGTGTTTCGCGGGTTTCGGGTCAGGAAACCAGTCAAGAAGATTCTGGAACTGAAGGGAGAGGTTGATGCCGTGGAGAAGAAGCTTCAGGAGAGAGAAACTATGAAGGCGATTAAGAGGGATAGGATGGAGAGGTTGAAGGTTAATGAGAGTTTGATGGTTTTGTTGTTTAAGCTTGATTCTGTTCGAGGGTTTAATGATGAAATTAGGGTTTTAAGGAAGATGGTGATTCGGAAAGCGATTAGGTTGCAGGAAATGATTGATTCGGCAATTGATGAAACTGCTGATGATAATTGTGAGAAATCTGATGAAGTTGTTGAGAAATCTGATGAAGTTGTTGAGGATACGACAGAGAATTCTGATGATTCGACTGTGATGAATGTTGAAACTTCGCCGAGAGTAATCGATGAAACCCTAGAAAAATCTGAGGAAGTTTTTGAAGATGCTGATGATTTCACTGAGAGTTTGAGTAAAATGCAAGTTGAAGATTCGGAGAAATTGGAGGAAAATTCTGAGGTTGCTGTTGATGCAATGCAGGTTGAAACTGTTACTGGTTCTGATGAGACATGGGAATGTGTTTCTTGTGAAACAGAGGAGCATAAGTCGGGCGTTGTCGAGGCGGGGAAAGAAGATGATCATGTTAAGGAGGAATGCGAAGATGGGTGTAATTCGGCCATGGTAGAGAAGGGAACGCCGCCTCGGAAGGAGGATTGGTTCGTTGTTAATGGTGATGAGGAGGAGAAAAGGAAGAAAGATAAGTTGCTGGAGAAAATGGCAGCGGATAATGAGAGATTGGTGGCAATGGTGGCCGATTTGTGTCAGAAAAACGTTGTTCAAAGTCAATTGATCTGTTCATTGTCGCAGAGGGTTGAGCAATTGGAGAAGGCTATGAGTGAGAGGTTGAGGAAGAAGAAAAAGAAGAGTAATGCTACTACTCAAATTTAAGCTATTTTGTTGATACTAGGTCTAGTTTAACTATTAAGTAGGTTATTGGAATGACTTTTTAACTGTTTAGTTAATTTTTTTGCCAATATTTAAGATAGTTTTTGCAAATAATTGGTGGATGATTTAATGAATAAAAGAATTTGGTTTTTAGTTCAATTTCTTTTGTGATATTGTGAACGAATTGTTTGATTTAGAATTTGATCTAAAGATTAATTTTTGCAATATATCAAAAGAAATCATCCCATAACAATGTTTAATTGAAAGAATACAATTGTGAATGACCTATATACAAAATATGTACAATTAAAAAAAATCAATAGTATTTCCAAGTCTTGAATTATCTTTTGTACAAGTGAACTTTGCCATATTAATTGTGTATCTGCCGCAGAAAATTTGTTTTCCGACTCTGTTTCTTCCATAATAGATTTATATGTACGGAATACTATTTTAGAATGTCCGAATAATGTATGCCGGAATCCTTTACTCAATCATGAGCATTTGTTTAACAACGAAAACTTTACCTGCAAACTTATCTTGTTCTTCACCAAACCTAACCTAGCACCGGTAGCAATCCAATAACCGGGATTATCTTGAGGCCCTCTATATGTTTGAGTAGTATCTACAAACCGGAGACACTTCTGGTTTTGAACAGGAACTGGTGGTCCGGTGGGATAAAGACTAGAATCGATAATTACCATTTGCTCTCTTTCTGCCTCTAAGCTTCCTGAACTTGATGGACTACTATACCTCATCAACTTTTGTGATGTTGATTCTGAAGAACCTTGACACCACTCTGACTGAACTATCTCGAAATTCAACACCTTGGAGAATAGAAGTCGGAGATGGAGAACTTGCTTTGAGCCGTGCTTTTTTGTATGAAGCTGAGCTCCGGTGACAATAAACACCACCTTTTCCTGCTCACTGATCCAGGATGAATCGTACTTAACAGGTGCTGTGCAAACGTGTGAGAACTTTTTATGAACTGGTTCAGAATACCTATCATCTGCTATCTCATCTGATCCTCTCCAAAATAAGCCACTGTCAATTTTGTTTTGTAGCATCAGTGGCATGCTTGATAGATGTTGAAGATGTATCGCCAACCTGAAATGTTTCAACTTTATGAATATAGTTTCTAAAGCTTAGCTAACAATCCTATTAGTCCACTATTAACATGCTAATTTCAGGCTAACCTGTCGCATTTCATGCCCTCAAGGTATAATCGCATCCCTGTAACAGGTTTGTTCTCAACATTGACCTGGTAAATTTCAATACTATTAATCAAAATGATCACAATGTTGTACATGTCATACAAAAATTATATGTTCTTAAGTAGCAAATGTTAGCTGCAACATCATTAAGTTAATACCTTTGATGTATTTACGTGCAATTTTGGACCCATGATGTTGAAATGAAGAGTAGATGATGGAAGCGAAATATTTGTTGTTGGGGCTAATGGGAGATCGCTGTGTAAAGGCGCCCATATCCTGGCTGATTGGAAGTCCAGAAAATACTGTAAATCAGCAATTGGGGGTTTATCTGCACAAATTAAACCATATAAGTACAGAATAAATCAGGAAAGGATTGCTAGATCAAAATTATAAGGCACAAGCGTCTTTTTTCTGATTTAAAATATAGTAAGATAACGAGTATAAAACGATAAAGAGATTGATCTTCCTGTCTTTTTGTCTAATATTGCGTTTTTCAAGCATTTGCTTCTATAACTATCTCCAATTATCCAAGGATTTGAGTCAATAGCTAGACATCAAATCGTTGGTACTTTGAATTCAAAATAAAAGTATGTGTTGTTTAAGAAACGGGGAAGAAATCTTGTGTGATCAGTTCAGAAATCGACTTACAACGAAGGTATAGATTGATAGCATGTGACAGGAAACCTTTCCCAGAAACACTTTTAAGTAGCGAAGTTATAGGGATAAAGCTAAAGTTAATTGCATCAGGCATCAATGGAACTGTTGGAAGCCATTCAATATGGCTGCTGAATGATGGATCACCCCCTCTTTTAGCACATATCACACTGATACCCTGCAATAGATGAGCCAAGGGTTATTCTTTTCCAAGACAAGAACTTAGCATAATAGGTACTCATCAGTTAATTGGCTCGACAAACTTTACTTACATCTTTTGAGGTAATAGCAGAAAGGCTATCAGAAAGAGCTGCCTGCTGCTGATAGATATTGAATGCTGACGGTACCTGTAAATCAAAACCAACAAATCTGGTAAGAACATGATCAATTATGATGTAAAAGAACTAACATGTAATTGGTAGTTTTAAGAATTAGCAAAAGATTGAAAATGGTTAACCTTTCTTCTTAGCTCTTTAGTTTTACGGTTATTAGGAGCAATAGGGCAAGTGCCTGTAAACAGCTGGTCTCCGAGCTCATACAAGTGCTTCCTGAGTTCTGATGATTCAAGCTTCGATGTTTTATCTTGCTTCACCAAAACCATGTCCTGCCCTCCAATGCTTATTCCCACAATGACATGAGTCCCATACTTTTCAATGAACCTGCTTTAGGCCAACGTTTATTACAACACATTATTGACTCAGCTAAAAAAAATGAACAGAAGGTGCTTACTCTTACTATTTATCAAGCTTAGGGCCTGTTCACATTTACTTAATTTCACTTTAAATCAGTTCAGCTCCTAATTTTCCTCTCTCATAAAATATTCATTTCAGGTTCCAATCAGTTCAGTTCAGTTCACTTCAATTCAGCTCAATTCAGTAAATGTGAACAGGCCCTTAGTTAGTTTCCTAATTGTCATATTCTCTTGCTACGCAAATGTTTGTACATGAGCTTGTATAAATACGCTTAGTACATACTGGCATTAGTATAAACACTATACAAGAAATGCCCATACCCGCAATGACCTTACAATGACAATTGTCGTTGCAAAAGATATCTTTTTGCAATGACAATTTTTACTTTTTAGCGACGACTTTTATTGTTGTTAAAAACTAGTTTTCTTGTAGTGATATATGACAAGTAACAACTAACAAGCTAAGCATTATGGTTTACCTTTACCCTAAAGTTATAACAATCAAATCAGATAAGATTAGTGTAGATAGATTTTAATATGATTTAGATTTTTGGGTCATATTTTAAAGATAAAGGCATAGTACATGTATGCATCAAGCATCATCATGCACATGATAGATTGATAGGCTCAACTAATTTCATTAATCTAGTTCATGAAATTAGTTGCATTATCAACATCAACTAATTATGACAAGTCTCATTGTTCAATTTCTTCTCAGCAATGATTGTAACACAACAGCCGCCGATAATAAAACAATAATCCAATATTATGTATTTATGTGTTTTTTTTTCCTCCTCTTCTATTTGGATAGGAAAACCCCGAAATAATGTTACTAGCTATGCGCGTAAGGAGATCAGATTTTTTTTGCTAATATCGGGTTTAACACACTTACCATCCCTATTATATACGAGTATAACATGTAACAGATTATAAAAGCATGAAACATGTTTATTATAAAATTTTAGCTCAATGGTGACCAAGTCAATCCTTTTTGGTGATCCTCATTATTCTGATTTTATATATAGTTTGACATTAAGCAAAAATTGGCAAATATTGAAAGTCAATACACTGCACTCCAATTACATTGACCATATTCCTTTCTAACTTGAAGTAGTATTTATAAGCTTCAATATAATATGCCAGACCAAAAAGATGACCAAGCCAAGAAGTAGCATGAAATTATTATTATTGGTAAAAGTCCTTGAATCATTCTGTATGTCTTCCTTAATACTGTACAGATTATTGCCTGGACTATTTTTTTTTTTTCCAATTATATATTGAATAATAATAAACATTATATGTTGTGTGAAGTTTGTTCCAATACAACGGCGTTGGTCAACTTTAACTTCTTAATCAAACCAAATAAAAAAAATCTTAATTAATTGTAGACTAAACACTTCTTGCAAGTTAATTGAACAAATAATTAGATGTTACTCTATACTCCAATCATTTTTGTTTGTATCACTCTAACTATTTTTGTCTCACATTTATTTTATTATGAAATTGGAGAATCTATTATTACATACGAGTACTTCTTTAAGGGTTATTAAGAGTATATACGTATTAAGTGATTAAAAGCCTTGAATATTATTTCATAATCTTATTTACCTTTTGTTCTTTTAAAAAAAAAAAAAAAAAAAAAATCAGATCTTGAAAAAAAGAAAATGACCTTTTAGACAAGAAGACAAATTCAGGAGTACTAATTGTCAAAAGTTAGCTTTAATTTTCACCAAAAACAGGCTGAAAGTAACATTTTAAAGGCTGACAATGTAATTATTCACAAGATGTCCAAATGTATACAGCTAAATGACCAAAATCTAGGACAGAGTCAAATCAGTTAGGTTATTTTTAAAATAAAAATGATAGAAATCCATATGCTGTTTATGACTTTTCGATCATACTACATGTTACTTAGCATTATTTATTGGAATTGAATAATAACGTAATGTAATTAATAAACATTTAAACAATACGAAGTATATGATTACAGTCAAGCTGCCAAAAACCGTATTTAACCTTCTATTGATAACCGTCAAACCAAAATGCTTACTCTATATAGAATTATAGATAGGTAGTTATACATCTTAAATTACATTTCTTAAAAGTTACACGCCTTTTATTTATACATTGGTATTCAAAACGGACAAATTCACTAGATGATAGCCCTTGCTTCATTATTTATTATCGTTAATAATCATCAATTAACTTCATACACTACTATTATTTGTCAATTTGAAAAATCATCGCACTATGCACCATTATCCTGTATATCTATCTCTTGCATCATTTATAGATGAAAAACAATCCTCATAAATAATCTAGTAACGTAGTAATATAGTTTAACTAATTTTTCTTTTTGTTTTGAAGATTCCCAACTTCTAACTAACATGTTATAATCACTAAATTAAACTCAATTTGAAAAATACAAATAGTCGCGATCATTTTAC